TAGGCAAGAAAAGAAAATAGACAGTTGAAGCCACAACTTATCTAGCTACTGTAAATTTCCTCACATTGAATTATTACATTTAATTTATCTGGCTTCACAGATAATGTTACTGTGTTTCATCGAATATATTAATATTTCTGCATCTGAGGACTTATCTGAGTTTTGTATATTGCTGCTTAAAACTCATTCCTGTATTTTTGTTTTTATTTAGGATTTCATGTTTTTTGAAAAGAGTGGAGGCCAGGAACAGAGAGCAGGAGTTTGGTAGTGGATGAATGAGAACTTCCTCAAAAAATTTCAAGTCCACACATTTCTTGGGACTATCCAAATGGACAAATCATTTCTTTTTTTCTGCATTAAAGTTATATGTAATGTATTAATTATATTTAATGCATGAATGCCCTAAGCTTCAAGTATATATTTTCCATGTTTCAAATTATAGAGTTTGTTTTCTGTATTACTGGTTTATAAATGCCTTTATACATTTTCTTTGAATCTTATATATGTGTGATTAAAAAACTACTTTGAATTACAAATGCTGATATATTTTTCATTTTTATAGCAATGTTTGAAAAATTATCACTGAAATAGTTTTAATATACAAATTTATTGTTTATAATTAAAATGTATCCCATGTAATAGTATTTGAAAATGCTGTATATTCAAGAAAGTTAAAAATTAAGTTTTCATTTCATTTACCATTATGTTTTCAAATCCTTAGTAAATCACGATATGGTCAACTTCTACAAGTTAATTTGGCTACTATAAGCTTTTCATATGAACTATACAATCAACTACCTAAAACAAATAAAAACATTGTTTTTCCCAGAGAAGTACACCTTTTGAATACTCGCTTGCTTGAAATCTGGGTATTGTTGTATGTTTTGAAGTAATTATTTGTACGTAGAAAGGTCGTCTTGTATGTACCAGTTTACCCAGGTGCCAGGGACATTGAACGTACATATATGTGCCTTCAGAGAATGTCAGCTTCAGTGACCACACACCTGAATTAAAAGTTCCTTATTGAATAATCCTTTGCATATCTGATTTTCATTTTTAAGCAAACTGAACACTCCATTCAAGTGATATTCTGAATTCTGCCCATTTTAACTCCTTTCCCTTTCAAATCTCCATTAAAAAGAGCAATAGGAAAAGCTTTTATCAGTGCTGCAAAGTAAGCTATCAGATAATTTAATTTTTTTATGTTTTGAGAGAAGGGATGAATAATTCACAAGTTACTCTTGCAAAATTATGATGTGGGAAAGGGGATAGGGAGGGACTGTCTACCTTTCCTCTTCAACAACAAATGTTTGCAACAGCAAGGAGCAGCATGGCCACTAACCCCTAGTGCAAAACATGGTGAACCTGGAGATACTGAGGAATTACAGGAAGAGAGACGTCCAGACTGCCTTCCAGTAGTCTAAAGAATTCACCAGTTGTGCCAGATTCCTGTGATGATGTAGAGCCACACGCTCACTCCAGGTCACCATTGGTACAGAGAAAATGCCAACGAAA